TTGCCAAGTTCATGACCAAGGTTGAAAAGCTTCATTCATTCGTACATGAGTGGCAGACCGTGGCCAGCAGAGAATATTCAGCTGTTACCGTCTACGACGAGATTACATCTATTCTCATTAGCTGGCGCCGTCTTGAGCTGTCAACTTGGGCTAAGCTCTTAGATATCGAGAAAGAGCGATGCGAGGACGAGGTAAGTGCTTGGTGGTTCATCGCCTATGAAGTACTCATCGGCGCTCCCATCATGATGGTCGAGGCAGGCGAACAAGACATGACCGAACACACCCAAAACTTGGTCTTGACTCTAGAGCAATTCTTCAATTCTACAACTACAGGGCAGTTTGCTCGCCGTCTACAGCTTGTTGCAAACTTCCAAGCATTGCTTGAAGTTTTCACCACAGATTATCCCTGCCTCAAGAAGCTTGTCTCTGCCTTGGACAACTTCCTCCACCACTACGGACCCTTCCAGCCTGGGGTGGACAAGTATCTGACGGAGAAGCGGTCGGTTCTTGAGAAGGATATCAAGGAGCAAATTCAGCTTGCGAGCTGGAAAGATGTCAACATTGTGGCTTTGAAGGAAAGCGCCAGAAGGTCGCATGTGAAACTATTCAAGTTGGTTCGAAAGTACCGTGCAGCCCTTGGCCAGCCAGTTCAATCAATCCTTGAAGCAGGCCTTCCGGAAAGCACGGAGGAGATCACTTCCATGTCACAAGCAGAGCCGGTTCGCCCCACTGCCACGTTCCCCGAGGCAATGGCCATTTGTCAAAATGATAAAAAGCTGTGGTCCACTCGAGCGCTCAGATTTCAGAAGCCGGATGGAACAGCCAACAACATGATGAATTTGTATTCTTCAATTCCAGCCGAGTTCGACATTGCGAAGGATCTCGACAGCTTCATTGTCTCCGTGATTGAAAGTATGAATGAGTTCAAGTCCAAGACACCCAAGGTCCTGAACGAAGACAACAAGGACGACGTCCAGCACCTCAAATCCCAGAAACGCCGTCTCTATGCCGAGACCCTCAAACAACTATATGAGATGGGTGTGAAACGTAATGCTGGATCGAGTGTGATTGAAACCCAAGAAACAGTTCCTCAAGTTCTCGCCACTAGTGCCGCCTTTGAGGCTGGCGCTGCAACCTCAACTGCAGTTCAGAGTGCCGACTGGTACTTCCACAGACTTCTGGATCTCCTGCCTAAGACCCGCCTAGCGTCTCGCAACTATTCCGAGGAGCTAAGCAACGTCGAAGTCCACCGAAGCATGGGGTCTATTGAGCATCTCATTCTCACCGTCCGCCGCCAGAGAGGTGTCATTTCGCCTGCCCTCACAGGCTTGGGCAAGCTGAAGTCTACGCTTGACAAGGTGCAGAACCTTTGGGCAGCGACTTCAAACTATCTGTCGCAAGACCATGCTTCTGCATCGGAGAAGCGAACCAATCTAGCTAGAATCGTGGCTTGGCTAGCGCCTATTCTTGGACTTGCCGCAATGATTATTGGAGTGCATTCCAAGTTCTCGGGAATTGACGCATCTAAGATTGTGGAACAGCTCCGCGCCAAAAAGGCATCCTTCGATAGCCTACGCAAGTCGCATGAAGCTCTTCCCATGCTTCCTACGAGGATTGCGTCTAACGCAAACCACGAGATCGCGCAGCAGGCACAATCGTCGCTCGATGAATTGGCGGCTGACTTGAAGCAATGGAGTCAAGCTCGCCCTGATCTGTCCTTCGCGCTGGATCAGATTACACCTTGGGTCAAGACAAAGGTTGCTGATGTCCCTGAGGTTAATGATGAGAACAGCCTATCCATCCAAGCCTTCGATAGCAGCCTCCTGACGGCCATTGACAAAATGCTCATCGGCCTGCAGAAGCTCAAGGATGTGCCTTCTGCCATCACCTTTGATGGATTGCTGTCGAGGAGTGATGAGTTCTTCTCTCGCGGTATTAAGGCTGTCCATCTCCCAGAGATCACCGCCGCATTGGAGAAGGTCCTTGACCAATTGCACCTCCTGCAAGATCACTCCGCTGGCGGTCTCTCCGTTGCTGCCGCACTGCTCACCAGTATCTTGCCTATCGCCAACAGATACTACCAAATCTGCCGGGATCTGGCTGATCGGTTCATCGCCGTTCACCGCGAGATCTGTAAGACATCCTACATCCTGACCAAGACTTTCAAGCAGGTCGCCTCCGAAGGCTTCTGTAGTCCTGCCGAAGCCTCCCAAGATCAAGGCAAGGAAGGCCAGATGGAAAGTGGAACTGGTCTCGGTGAAGGAGAAGGAGCGGAGGATATCAGCAAAGATGTTGGTGATGACGAAGATCTATCTGAGTTGGCGCAACAAGAGAACAAGAAAGAGGACGGTGATGATGAGATGGATGATTCCAAGGATGCTGTCAACATGGATCAGGAAGAGTTGGAAGGTGATGCCGAGGATCGCAAGGACGAGGAGGAGGAGAACGACGACAGTGCCGAGGAAGGAGATGACGATATCGACGAAGAGACGGGAAGCGTTGATGACCTTGACCCTGGTGCTGTGGATGAAAAGCTCTGGGACGGTGGTAATGATGAGCAGCAGAAGGATACTGAGAATGAAGAAGGAAAGGGCCAATCGGAGGCCGAGCAACAAGCTGCTGCTCAGGAAGAGAAGGGCGACAAGGATGAAAATGGTGAAGAAAAGCAAAAGGAAGGAGAGGAAGAGGAAGAGGAAGAAACAGAAGATGAAGAGGCCCCCGAAGACGAGGGTGAGGCAGTTGGACGTGAAGAAATGGACGTCACCGACCCTCAAGCAAAGGAAGAAGAAACACTTGAACTTCCCGAGGAAATGCAACTTGATGATGGTGAAGGCAAGGATGACAATGGCGAGGACGACGATGACATGGATGACCTTGACGACGATTTCGGTCCCGCCCCCGAAGAAGAAGCAGAAGGGAAGGACGAAGATGTCAATGATGAAGCCGGCGAAGAAGATGCCGAGGCAGCAGAAGATCAAGTGCCAGGTGAGGAAGATGAAGAAATGGCCGATGATGCGGAGGAAACCAACGAAGGCGAAGCCGGAGAAGAGGAGGAAGAGGAAGCTGGTGGCGAAGATCCCGAGGAGTCTGAGCAAGACGACTTCCTCGCACAGCGTGATGAGAATGATGCCGCAGGTGACAACGTCGCTCCTAGTGAAGCTGTTACTGGCGGGCTCGGAGCCGAGCAAGACCAAAATGAAGAAAAGGGTGCATCGGGTGACGCTCAGCAGGAGAGCGGCTCGACTGATCCCAGTGCCAATGTCGACCAACAGACAGGCGCTGCTAAGGATAGCGAGGAGAGCCAGCCCAGCCGAGACGCTGCTGGCGGCGAAGATCACGGGCCAGATGAACCTCAGATGCAGGCATTCAAGAAGCTCGGTGATATCCTCGAGCAATGGCACCGACGACAAAAGGAGATTCTCAATCCATCTCAACAGGAAGAGGAATCCCAAGCTATGCCCCAAGACACTGATATGGCCGACGCGGACTTTGAGCACCTAAAGGATGACGATGATGCCGCAGACACCCAGGCCCTTGGACAAGCAAACGACGACCAAACGCAAGCCCTCGACCAAAGCAAGGGTGTGGAGTCCGACATCAAGCCTGGCGAGAACGATGTTCTCCCAGACGTGTCGGACGAGCAGCAAGATGCCGTGGACAACCAGCTTGAGGATGAGATGGAAATCGACCGCGAGAATGTTCCCACAGATGGCGAGTCCGTTGGCGCCTTCATTCCTAGCGGTCAATCATCCCACGATCGCGCAGACGGAGCACAAGGCACCGAAGAAGTGGACGAGGAACTGGACGAAGTTGACTCGCAACTCGCAGCAATCCATCTCTCCTCTTCGCTTCCCCCATTGACTCCACAAGACGAAGCCCGCCGCCTCTGGTCGCACTATGAGTCTGCCACAAACGACCTCTCCCTCTCCCTGACCGAACAACTCCGTCTCATTCTCGCCCCCACAATGGCCACCAAGCTCCGCGGTGACTTCCGCACTGGAAAGCGGCTGAACATCAAGCGTATCATTCCCTACATCGCATCCCAGTACAAGCGCGACAAGATCTGGATGCGCCGCTCTATCCCCTCAAAGCGTAACTACCAGATCATGCTGGCCGTCGACGACAGCAAGTCTATGCTGGAAAGTGGCAGTGGTCAGCTCGCCTTTGAGACCCTCGCCCTCGTTGCCAAGAGTCTGAGCATGCTGGAAGCTGGTGACTTGTGTGTTCTCGGCTTCGGTGACGAAGAGCACGTTCGTGTCGCCCACGAATTCGGAAAGCCTTTCTCCTCCGAGGCAGGCTCCCAGGTCTTCCAGCACTTCAGCTACCAGCAAACTGGTACCAATGTGCGCAAGCTGATTGCCGACTCTATCGCTCTCTTCCGCGAGGCTCGCTGGAAGCGCTCGCCTGGTTCCGGCTCTGCCGATCTCTGGCAGCTTCAGTTGATTATCTCTGATGGTATCTGTGAAGACCATGATACCATTCGCCGTCTTGTCAGGCAGGCGCTTGAGGAGCGCATCATGGTTGTCTTTATTATCGTCGATGCTGTCAAGGGTAGCTCCATCCTTGACCTCTCGCAGGCTAGCTTTGAGGCCGATCCTGGCTCTGGTGGTGAGATGAAGCTCAAGATGAAGCGATACCTCGAGGACTTCCCCTTCCCTTACTACCTTGTCGTTCGTGATGTGAAGGAGTTGCCCTCTGTTCTGGCCACTGCACTCAAGCAGTGGTTCGCCGAAGTTGTGGATGTGTCGTCTTGATACCCCCAAAAATAAAAGGAGTTGGAATGCGGATTTAGAGTTATTTAGTTACATTTGACGGCGTTGGATGATTTTTCTTTGTATATGATAGATTTTATAGATGTGATACATCAGTCGAATGTACAACAACATTTTTTAATTTCTTTATTCAAATTCCCGTATGTCATTTCCTACAGAATGTTATGGTATCTCAATGCTAATGCGCTTGACAAAAATTCCCCCAAAGTGGCCTTACGTATGCTACAACTACCATCCGTACTTGGATCCAGCTTCCCTCTTGTTCCTCCGACCCGTTGCAAAGCTTTCCTCCAGTGCCTCCTTCTGAGAGCTTGCAACATTGAGCAATTGCTGTAGGGTATGCTTTCCCGGCGCAATGGAGCGTACAGGGTTGTGCTGCGCTCCGGCTAGCTCGGTTTGCGCCAGAACCTGGTTCGACTTGTACTCCTCGTCCGTGTTGAAGGTACGCACCTGTGACTGCGACGGCGTGGCGTTCCGACCGAAGAGCTGGCGCCTTTCGGCCTTGGACAAGTTCAGGTCGTTGGCAATGCTATCCAAGGATGACGTAGGATTGGATGATACTGTTGCCGTGGAATAGTCTATGGCGACTGATGCAGGCTCGGCGAGTACTTGACCAGCTGCTGATAACTCTTCGTCTTCGGCGTTGTATACCAGCGGCTGGTAGGTTGCTGATGGTCCAGGTGCCGGGCCTGGCTGAGAAGTGGCCTCGTCCGAAGATAGCGAGAAGAGACTGACTTTGGGTTTTGGTGGTGCAGGAGCGGGGACGGGGGCCTGCTGTAGAGGTTGAGCGCTCGGCGCTGCTGCCGAGGAAGGTTTTGGCTGCTCGGCAATCTTCTCGGCATTCTTGGTGGTCTTTCTCTTCTTTTGAGGTCGTCCGACGGATAACGGTCTGAACATCATCGGATTTCCTTGCAATTTGACTTCCGCTGGGGTTTTCATTGTGTCCGCCAGTGCATCTGATGCAGTGTCGGGTTTTGAGCTGCCAGGTGCAGATGTAGTGTCCTCCGCATCTCCGCCCGCCAGATTTTCGAATGCGTAATCATTCTTCATCTCCGCATCAGCTGTGCGATCAAACCCAGGGCCTGCTCCCGTTTTGAGACTAAACGGTTTTCGTGTTGTCGCCACTTGTGCTTTCTTTTCGAGTGTTCGTTTCGGCGCTGGAAGGAAAGCGTTGAATCCGGAAAAGCCCCCTCCTCCACCGAGACGAGCCTTTTTGCGCGGACCATCTTCGGTTTCTTCGCCAGATGTGTGTTCAGGTTGGATTTCCGGAATCGCGACGCGGATCTTGCCTGGGTTGCTGCGGTCGACCAGGGATCCAGTTTTGGAGCCGAGTTTCTTTGCCCTGCCAAACTTGGGTGCGGGTGTAGTGGTTGGCTCGGCGTCTGAGCCTTCAGAGTCAGAGTAGCCTACTAGACCCATGATGGGAGAGTTTTGGTAGAGTTGTTGTTGTTTCCATGACGTTTGAGGGATTTGGCGACAAGTTAAATTATTTGCCGCCTGACCATTCAGGCATCATGGTATTACGTAATCATATCATCCCGAATCTCGATTTGGGATGATGGAAAGGAGAAGCAAGACATTACATAGTGGACTGAGGGACGGGGATGGAATGGACCAACGAGAAAAATGTCCGAAGCCACAGCCTAAAACTCTCCTTTGACAGTGAAACACCAGGGATGATCCCATCACTTTGTAACGTCATCGCATCCGGGTTCTCCGCTTCGAATGAGCTTAGCAGGATCATACATTGGACAATGGTGTTAATAGACATGCATAGTCACTTGGATCATCTGAAGCAACCAGCCCTAGGATCTGATCTGATATATGTAGAAGTTGAGACATGTTGATAAGTCAAAATAGGAGTGACTCGACGGAATAATGGAATAATAACACCACCATGATCAGAAAGTAAGAGAAATAGTTTCTAATAGAGACCAAATCGACCTCATAAACCAAATTGACCAAATATTAATCTCCCAAATAGACATATCAGCTCAATAGGGGTGTTCAAGAGTTCAGGTGTGAAGTCCATAATGAAAGATCAATGCGTCATTCTGGCCGCTGCCCCTCCCCACTTAATCCGGACCTCCCATTCCAGCTTCTCTCCTTATGGGCGCGGCCGCGGCGCCGGGCCGGGCGGGGGGGGCGGGGGGGGGGGGTGGGGGGGGGTGGGGGGGGGTG